TCCTACCTCCCCAGCCCCTTTCCCTCCGGTGATCACCACACTGCTGTCTGTGTCTACGAGGTATCTCCCCCCCTTAATCCCTTCACCTTTTCCACCCAGCCCCCCTACCCACTTCCCTCTGACAGCTGTCAGTCTGTTCTCTGGATCTGTGAGTCTGTTTCTATTCTGTTCATCAGTTTATTTTGTTCACTAGATTCCACGTATAAGTGAGATCATATGGTACTTGTCTTTCCCTGACTGAAATGTCTCCAGTGAGAAGTCCAGCTTGATAAGCCTCAGCACTGAGGAGATACCACCCCTCCCCTATGTGTGAAGGTGCCAGCCAGTGGAACATGAGTCATACATGGATTACTGGGTGGGATACCTTCCGGGATCAAGAGACAAGTCATGTCCAAGTAGTTACGGGGTGGCACTGCCCTCGGCAGGCACAGGGGACCTCAGCACAGAGCAACGGCAAGGAGTCTAGATTCTCACGTGATTTTCCCTCTTGGTCCTCCCTGACCAGTCACCATGGAGAGGGGGCTGCATTGGCTAAATCTCCAAGTTCTGGTGGGGTAATGCCTTTTTGTTTTTCAAGTTCTTCTTCAGGCTACAGTTACTGAAGGGCTCTCTATGAAAATCTTGGCATACAAGTAAAACACATGGGTATTTCTAATGCCTCTACATACCCTGGCTCAAGATACTTCCTGTTCCTTATAGATTATTAGTCACAGGCCACAGATGTGCACAGAGGACTCGGCATCTGTAATCCTAAACAGGAAACTAAGAAAGTATGGGCTGTATGGAGGCAGTGGGGGGAGGGAGGACAGGTGAAGTAGAAAGAAGGAACTGGACACGGAGGCACAGTGGGTAAGAGTGTATGCTATTAGGATGCCGATATGTAAAAAGCATCACAACAAATAGTAATGAACTGATGAAAACTGAGTAATGGGCCAGGTTCTGTGCTTTGTATGCCCTGTGTTCATTGAGTCCTTGTAATAGTATTTGGGGAAGGTATTTTACATAAAAGAAAACTGAGGCTTAGAGAGACGAACTTGCTTACCTTGAAACAATCAGTGAATGTAAAGCTGGGCTATAAATCCAGAGACAACAGAGAACTGACCTGCAGTTGCCAGAGGCAGGGGTGGGAGTGGGGAGTTGGGTGAAGGGGGTCAAAAGGTACAAACTCCCATTTATACGATGAGTAAGTCCTGGGGGGCATAGTTAACAGTATATATTGTATAGTTAACAGTATATATTGTATATCTGAAAGTCGTTAAGAGAGTAGACCTTCAAAGTTCTCATCACAAGAAAAAAATGTGTAACTGGGTGAGGTGACAGACGTTAACTAGACTTATTGTGTTGATCACTTCACAGTATACACACATATCAAATCATTGTCGTACACCTTAAACTAACATAATGTTTCATGTCAATTATGTCTCAGAAATAATCTCGTACCGGATTACTTCTCTCTATTCAACAGTCCAGTAGGACTATTGGTATCATAGGAGGTTCAGGTCTAATAAAAGAAAGTTTTTTGTCGTCTTAGAATTTTATTTATTTATTTACTTTGTCTTTTGTTACCTTACGGATAAACTGAATTTTAGAAGCTCCTGAGGAAATAATTCACCATGTGGCCAGGTTTGGCATAAACGAGTGCTTTCTGGTACTCAGGCAAGCTGAACGTTATTTCTTCTACAGCCCTGGGGCAATCTGTCTCATGACACAGTGCAGACCTGAGCAGAGCGTTAAGTGGTGTTACGTGGCACCATGCTTAGAGCGGAAGGGCCTCTCATAAAGCCTGTGTGCTCC